GTCTCTAGGCTGTTTTTTTCCACTTCTTATTTATTTGAAATGTGACTACCACCAAAACAAAACTGCACAGGTGTTTAGAGCATTTTTTTTTTCTGGTATGCTGAATCATTTCTGATGTGTCTTAACAACCTCCTTTTTAAATGAAATCATATTTCTAATGCAAACAGACACCTAACTTTCAGTAGCAGCCAAAAAAACAATTCCACTCTGACAAGGTGCAATCAGAAGGAAATTTTATATAACACTGCAAGTAATAAATAAGTTATGCATAGCAAGACTAAATTCAGAATAAGTATACTGTAAAACAAAATACATAAGAAGAGCTGAAGAAAGAATTAATTACAGAGTTAGGATATAAACAGTAATGCATCTCAGGCAGAAGCAAACAACAAAACCAAAGGAAAGATAATAGTGGGCTGAGTTTGTTCAAGAGAAACAACATTTACAGGTGGGAAAACACATCCGATCTCAGAGGATGGTAATTACCTGCAAACAACCAGCACAAGCTTTATGCGTGTTAAATCCCACCAAAAAGTAGGGCACCAGATACTGTTTGTATGTATGGCTTGATGTCTGGACAGAAGTGCATTCTACTGAGTGAACAAGCTCCCTCTACATCTTCCCAATATCCTAATTGCAATTCCACAGCCACTCAAGCAAAGGATGCTTTCACGAACAGCAAAATTAATTTCCTGAAATCTGGAAGTGGCAGAAATTCGTAAATGCCTAAGCATGTAACTAAGTGGGAATTTCCTACGAAAGGTAATTTGCAAAACTATGCTAAGGGAGGCATTACCCAGTCTTAAGAGTCAGTAAACAGCACATCTGGTAAACTGAAAGTTGACAGCAAAAACCCAGTGTATTATTAAATACATACTTGATATTCATCTTGGCATCACAGATTAGTTGACACCTACATTAATTACTGTTGTGAACTCTTAAGCTCTTCTGCACCACACCAAATTCCCTTGCACTTCCAATATGTAACCAAACACAACACATAAACAGTTAATTTACCATTCTGACTAAAAACTCAACCTTAACTATGTAACATTCTCTATAAACACATTTATAGATACAATCTGTTATTCTGCATATAGGAAACTACGAGCAGGAATCATATTACTACATGTGACTTGACATAAAATAAAAAAGTGGGCATCTCTTCTGGTTAAACGTAAAAGCGCAAAAGAGATGGCTGTGGAACCAGAGAGTGAATACATTTTGGGAATTTGGTATTAAGAAGGTCCTTGGAGTTTAAGCATGTGGGCAAAGTCATGCCTTGTATTAACAATGTCACTACTGATACGCAGCTTCATTCACATCACACATCTTGTCAAGAACAAAGCTGTCAGACAGGTGAATGCAACAAGGCATTACAGTAGATATATGAAGTTAAGTTTAGGTGGAAGTCTACATGCAATTCTTGGCAATGCTCTTATGGCTGTTCAAACTATTTAATGACAGCTCGATGAGAGAAGACAGTTTGAGAGTACCACAAGAACAGAAGAACTTGTAAGAGTCCACCTAAACATTTTCCAAATTATCTCTTCAAGTAGTACCATCTTCATTAAGGAAGGGAGATGTTTTCTCTCAAATCTCTTCCAGAAAATAACTAGTTGCAATAACCTTTTTACTGGAAGGACCTACTGCATTCAAATTAATATTGCAAGTTAAAAACTTGTCACCTAGAAGTTTACCTATGACAGAAAATTAATTCTTTGGGTATTTTTGAAGAATATTTATTTTCCACAAGCACAAACTATAGACTGATGTAATACTTCTGAAGTTAGTTGTCAGAATTTCCAGGATAAAGGACTTGCCCGAACATAATGTATTTAAATGCAAAGTGCTAGGGGCCATTAGGCAGAAGTTCAGAGCGAACAATAGCGAAGAGTAAAAAAACTCCCAACTCTAATTTGCTTTTGCTGTCTCAAAAATGGTGAAGAACAGGTCTGAAACTTGGCATATCACCTTAAAATTACCCGTAATGGCTTGATCCAACACACAGACCATCCATGAAGTAAATTATCCCCATATTTTTCTACCAGCCCTAGCTGTTCATTGTTCTGCTGGCTCAGGCGGCACTTGTCCAACTCTGCACTGAGCAAGCTCAGCATACTAAATGCAGCAGTAATCCTGCTATCCCCATCAGTTCTGCTAGGCAAGAGTTGATCTAGTCCACGGAAAGGTCAGATGAGAGCCAGGATTCACAGCCAGGAGCATTAAAAGAGAAGAAAATGTCTTTCAACAGTGCATGCTGTTTCTTTGATTCTAGAAATAATAAGAATCTTTATCCTTGAGGAGAATGAAGAAGCTAATACACTGTTATCTTCTTCGTAATCTCAACTTCTGTTAAGGGGCATGGGGAGTTAGGAAGTACTCCAAAGTGACCATCAAAGAACTCAGCTGTCAGATTATCAGACAAAAATGTTTTAATGGTCTACTGTTATACTTTTGAAACAAAAACTTGTTAATTGCTGAACAAAATGTTCTGTCTCCTGTGCAGCTTATGCAATTTACTGATGAAGATAGGAAAGTACATCCCCAGGAAAATAGGGCTGAGAGTCTCTGAAATTGCCCCTTTTCTTTCCCTCCCCCTTTACCCAAGACACAGCAATTAACTTCCCAAAGCCTTCAAGGATACTAGCCTATATTCAAGAATATTGTTGCTTACTGAAGTTTATCATGTAAACTATACTTGTATTCTGCAGCCAGATCTTGCTTGAAACAATATTCCAATCTCATCAGGAAATCCTGGTAAGGCTTTAAATTTTTAAGCTGTCATCTTAAGAGTTTTGAGCATTAGCTTTAAGCTTTCAGGGGAAAATAACTCTGCTAAAGAACTGCACATGAAAAACACAGATAGATTAGCTCCCCTTTAAAATCTGCACTATTTAGTCAGAAGAGCTTTCACAGAAACTGAGCAATAACTTTAACTGTGGCACTGCCAGATACTAAAATGAATGTACATTTTAAAAAAGTGAACCAATTACCCTTTGTGGGCAGATCACGATTCTGCTTTTCACATCAGGAGGACAAAGCTGTAAGTCAGTCTGAAATGAGCTTAGGAATGTATTTCAGTATAAACTGATTTTTAATTACGAGTTTGATATGTTCTGGATATGGTTAGCTAATGCAAGGACAATTAAGGTCTGAGCACAAGTCACAAAAATTCTACCAAAATCTGTAGAAAGAAAGGCAGTGCATCCCAGAACAGCAGAATGAGTCTCAGTTTCCTTAGCTCCTTGCTTTTCTTTGTCTTGCCTTGAAATAAATAATGTCCTCTCACTTGCTGTGGCAGCTTCATAAAAATAGAACCAAGGAACAAAGGTGAATCTTTAGCAGCATAAATCAAATCTGACTATCATGAATCTAGACAACATTAACAAAATCCAAGACCAAATATACTTAGTACAGCCATTTTTCATTAAAAAAAAAAATTTCTATTTCTGGCATCTGGTTTTATAATTAAGCTTAGAATACAGCTTTGTATCCCCATCACTAACATAAATCAAACATCATGGATGTCCTTAAATATTCTAAAAGGCTCTTAGTGGATACTAAGAATTTTGGATAAACAATCAGAGAAATGTAGATCTGGAAGGGATTTCAAAAGATCACCTAAGCCCATCTCTGCACACAGGCAATATGAAATATACTATAGTCCATCCCTATGAGATGTTTCATAAACCTCTTCTTAAAACTTCTATAGTGGAAATTTAACAACTCCCATGGGAAGCATATTTTAGTGTTATCACTACCCTTATAGTTGGAAAGTTTCTCTCATCTGTCTTTGCTACAAATATAGGCTACTTATGAGGGCATTAAGAGAAACTTTCAAATTATAACGGTATGAAGTACCTTCAAGTCTATCTAGAGAAGCCACTACAATTTTGAAAGACATTCTGGTGTTTGATAAGCGTACAATTATTGTTTCATCTCATCTTCTGACTCCCTCAGTTATAAAACTGAAATCAGAATTTCTTTACTGAGATTGAATTTACCTTAGCATTCTTAAACTGAAAGGACATAGATGTAATGCTGGTGTTGAACAACTATCCTGGATTACATGGTGTATCTTCGTATCTGTTCTTAACAGCCCAGCACAAAAAAAAAAAAGCATCACATGATCTGTAAGAAAAGTGGCCTTGCATTTTAAACTCAAGGATGGAGTTCTGTATTCTAACCCAACAGGAAGTCCTGACTTTGAACACATCATATTCTCTCTCTCTCTATTTCATCTTTAAAAGGACACCAGTGCTCATATTAGAAGTGTCGTGGAGATGACACGCAAAGTATTTCGAATGCTAAGGTGTGGAGCACTGTCTGTTCGCAGACTCACCAGGTGGGACGTAAACGTGGCATGTCTCTAAGCAAACCTGACAGGAAGCAAAGAGCAGGACTGCAGATAAGATACCACTTTGGCTTGAGGCTGCAAACGTACTCACTTGGGTATAGAACTGTTTTTCTACTATGGAAACAAATTTCTTGCTGCTGTGGGATTTTTGCGATATTTTCCCCTTCGTAATTTTTAAAAAATAATTTTTTAAAAAAAAACAAACATGAAGATTTCAAATAGAATTAAAATTTCATCTTCTAGTCACTATTTCACGTTCTGCATGACTTCCCCCAATTAAAAAAAAATAATCTTTTGTTTTACAAATACTGTTTTTATAGATACAATATTGTTTCAGGCTTGCAGTCACGAAAACAATTATACTGCTTGGCTACTGCAAATCCCCTGCCTTTAGCCTTGTTATGCACTGGAGACGTGTGAAACTCTCTCAGTTACAAATATGTTACAGAAGACCTGGGGCCTGTGACTGTTGTAAGCATCCTACCACAGCGATTTGGCAGTGATAAGGAAGAACGAATATTGGAGGTGCAAGTTTCTGCTGGATCAGGCCTTGAGCGTAAGTGCATTCTACAACACATAAAATGGTGACATCACAAAATAAAATACTGTATTTTATGTAATGCAGAAGTAACACACACAATTTACATATAGTAATAATTTATTCTGAAATGTTCATTTTAGTCTCTGTTGAGACATCACCATGTCTCGTTAATAAAAGAGCAGCCATCTCACCTCAAATACCAGAATATACAACAAGTTACAGCATAGCAAAAAATTCTACCTACTTTAAGATAAAACCTAATTCAGGTAAAATAATTTTGCTCAAGGTTTTACAGTTACACAGTTTTCCTTTTTTTTTTTTAAAATTTATTTTCGCAGAGCACAAAGAAAGTGTAAATCATTACACCATAACTACCTACCCACATTATGTGACCACAGAAATGTTAATCATTACTTCAGAAAATGAACCATCAGTTCCATTCATGCAGAGAAGCAGGCTGGGAAAGCTTGTTCAGCAGTAACCATATTACTGTGAATTTCACAGCCACATGATTAATTACTGGGTTAGGTGGACTCACAGATATTAAAACTGAGTAATTTTATTTTTTGCATAAATAATACCAATTCTTCCCTGATGTAGTTTAGTCAGTCTGTAATCTAGAAATGATTGATAAAGCAGTATGACTGTATCATCTCTTATCTCCAATGCTCCATGATTTCAATGACAAGCAATACTTAAAGGATTATGGGATGGGATGCTAATTAAATACATGTTAAACATACTGTACAAATATACTCGCATTAGCAATTTTATTTCAAACTGTCAATCAGGTATTCCTCCAAAATATTACCAGTGAAGACAAAGTATACTATCAAATATGGCTTCCAGAACAAGGACACTCTAACAAGAATCAAAGCTATTTACAACAAATAAAAACAACAACAAAAAAGTCAATCCCCAATCTTTTAGTTTCATTTGAAACAAAATTTCTAAGTAGCTGCTGTATATAATACATCAGTTTTATTTATTTCGTGTTGCACTTAAACAGAAGTTACCAGGTAAGAGCCAGAGTGACGCTTAGGACTCTGAGTTCCACTGGAGTCTGGGTTCTCAGACTTGGACTCGCGTTTCTTCGTGCTGTTGTTGACGGGCGTCGGTATCTGGGAGGGCCGAGCGGAGCTGCTGTCCACACTGCTCTTCCTGCGGCTGGGGTTGTAGTTGAAGGGCGTCACTCTGGCCGCAACAGCACCGATAGGCGAGCTGTGTTTGCTTGAGCTGCTGGAACTGAATGGTGTACGCTCGCTTACAGTACTTTCATTATTTTCTGGAGCAGGAACAGGATTATTTGGCAGTGGCTTTGTTTCAGTGCCTTTTTTGTCTGGACTGTCTATCTGAAAGAAAGAGTTCAGGCGGTTTTCTAAACCAACAGTACGAACAGGAACGCCTCCACTCCCTGGGGTTTGTTTTTCTTGCATCTCTTTACAATCTTTACCATTCACGGCCCCTTTCTCTGAAACGCTGTCGATAACTGGGGGAGTATTTCCAGTTGGGGACCTTCCAGATCGAGGATTGTTAATTGGGCAGTCCTCTATCCTCACCCACACATCCTCTGTCTTAGAGACAGCTGGTGCCATCTGGTAAATGAGAGTTTTGGCATCAGAGCCATTGGTGGCACCCGAGGAAGAATGCTGAGCATCATTCATTATCTGAGGAATTTCATTTTCTTTTATTTTTCTCCAAGTACCTTTTGCTGGTGCTTGGCTTTCTTTACTTTGCTTGTGTCCAGAAAGAGAGCTTCCATGTTGCTTTTCATCTTCACTTTTTGCCTTTTCACTGGATTCTGAAGAAGCTGACAGAATTGAGGAGGAACTTCCAGTTCTTCGCCAAGTGCTTACACGAGGGAGTGACGAGGAATGCTTACTATGCTCACGCTTCCACGTTCCTGATCTATTGATCAGCAATCTAGAGGGACTCTCAGAATGAGAACGAGCTATATCATGACGTTTTGCTGGTCTCCCATCATATTCTACGGAAGGGCTCAGATTAGGGGGTAATTTTCGCCAGCCACTAGTCTGGGCAGTTGAATGAGTGGATAAAGACATATCAGGAAGAGATGGACTTAAAACTGGGGTCTGTAGTTGGGACCTTGTGGGAGAATCCGGCCTGGAAGGAGACAGAGATTCGAATGAAGCCGACTCTTCTAATTTCCGTCTCAGAGTTGGGCTTGGAGCTTCTTTAATAAAAGTTGACTGGCGAACGAGAACGGGTCTTTCAGATCTGTCAGATTCACTTCCGCTAGATTTTGCAGATGACATTCTGGATAGCTCAGTCTTTTTGTTTGATCCACCACTGCCAAGAGCTTGGTTCAACCCTTTTGAAGCAGACTCACTTCGTGGAATGCTACTGGCACTCTTCGGCAAGGCCGTCTGCTTTGTAAGGTTCTGCTGGCTCATCTGCCTGCCTGGTGATGTGTATGACATTCTACCCGAACTTGAAGATTTAGTTGAAGCTGTGCTAGGAGATGATGTCCTTGGCAACTGAGACAGTTTGTTGGGAGGACTTATACCATTCCTTCCCGGGGAAATGGAGTTTCGGCCGGGAGACTGCAGAGGCCTGCTTAATGGCTGCTGCTGAGGTCTAGAAGGAGTGGAGTCTCTAGACCCTGATCTTGAAGGGCCTTTACTTGATCCACTCTGGTTCAACCCTGATGGCTGTCTAGTTACAGGAGCTGGCTCAGGTTTCACTGATGACTTGACTCCTCTTGGAGAACTAGTCAAACTTTGGCCATCACTGGGACTCTTGGAGTTCGTGTTTTTGAGTGGTGGACCTTTTTTGGAAACAGGACTAGTACTTGACGAGCTATTTCGAACTCCTGGAATATGGATCATTGTCCTACCACGTGAAATTGAAGGCACACTTGTCGGTTGTGGTTGCTTCAACTGGCTTGAAACTTCTGAATTGGAGCGAGCTTTTCCTGTAATTATACTTTTATACACTTTCTTCCCTCCTTTGATTCCCCTGCTTTCAGATTCTACTTTTTTAGACTCCAGTGTACTCTTCTCTCCTGGCTTAAGAATTCTTGGACCTTTATTACTAGTGAAAGGTTTTTCTTCTTGGTCTGGGGTAAGATGAAATGGTGACCCTAGAGAAATACCAGATTTTAATGAAAGGATAGAATCAGAGTCTGATGAAGCTTGTCGAGACAGGGATGCAGCAGCTGCTGCTTGATGCAAGCTACTAACTATAGAGTTTGCACCTTCTTGTATAGCTTTCCAATCAAAGTTCTCTGAATCAGGTGAGAAACCATGTTCTGAATCTGGCCTCTGTATCTCTCTCAAATCCAGTGTTAAATCTTCTGCCAGTATACCACCTGTACTTCTGGAATTGTTTTTTTCACTTTCACTCTTTATTCTTGAGGGTTTTTTCTTTTTTGGCATAGCAGAACTGATGCATTCCTGCAAAAGATCATCTTCCGAGTCAATACTAAGAGAGCTGAGAGAGCTGTTCCTCGAGAAACATACAGGAGTGTCTTCAACATGAAATGATTTAGGTGCATAACCAGAAGTCTGTGGTCTGTTTGATTCCATCTGTGAATCAGGAGCATCAGTATGTTTTGCAGGTTCCCCTTCTTTGTTGTTATTGTTTTCTTGATCAATATCACTGAGGGAACTGAGAGATGAATTGCAAGAAAAACAAACAGGTGTGTTTTCGATTGCAAAATTCTGCATTTTCTCATCTGTGGCTGCTCCTCTGTCTGGAGTATCTTTCGTTGACTGAGAGAAAGTTTTAGGTTGGCTTCTGCCTGTTGGGTGCTTTTGGCAAACTTGCGTCCTGTTACTTGGTTGCTGATTTGAAGACTGTTCTGGATTAGTGCAGTCTTTAGTTTCTGTTTCCTTTGCTTCTTTTCCTTTTCTTAATTCTGCTTTCTCCCTTGAAAGGTCAACATCATCATCATCAAAATCTAGAGAACTCAGGGAATCATTCCTTGAAAAACAGTAAGGAGTTCCCTCTATAGGTGTGTAATGGTGAGGGGAATCAAATGCAAAGCTTCCTCTTACACGCTCTTCATTATTTGGCAGTTTGTCGTTAAAATCTCTTGAATTGTTTTTAAGGTTCTGTTTCTTTGTGTCTCTGTTCTCTGGATAGCTTCTTTCATTACTGATATTGCTTTTAGGGTCTGTGGTTCTTCTTATACGTGCTCTGTATTCATTATTTTGTGGAACAGGCTTTACTGGTGATGTTGGCTTCTTCTTCTCACCTTCTGGTTGGTTCTTATTACTTAGAGATGAAGATGCTTGTTGAATTTGGTCCATTATCTTCTTCACTCTGAAAGGTTTGTGACTTTTTCCTTTTGGCATAGCTGAGTTAATGCACTCGGCCAGAATATCACCCTCTTCTGTTTTGTCATCATCTAGGCCCGGGGGAGTCACAGCTGAGCTTTTTGCTCTCTGAGAGTCATCAGTACTTCTACCTTCAGTAGGAATGGTGTCTCGCTTTTCAAATTCCCCTGACTCTGCTCCCATACCCACACTGTCTACATTGGTCAGCTCACTTGGGGGTGATTCTATTGTGAGATCACTCAGAGATGTAGCTGTTGAAAAATTTATTGGTGTACCCTCCACACAATATACCCGTGGCATATCATCTCCTGGTGTAAAACTGACATGCTTTTGGGATTGCAGTCTGCTTTGTGAAGGCAAAAGTTTGTAAACTGGCAACTGGCTAGGCTTTCTGGCTACAGGAGGAGGTATTTTTGGAGCAGCTGCTTGAGAAGGCTTTTTGGCTTTACGCGAAGACTTTGTTGGCATTGCAGAAATAATACATGCTTCCAGTATTTCAATATCATCGTCATCATCAGAATCGTCCAGAATGTCTTTTTCTGCTTCAGTAGGTTTCTCTGCTTTCTTCTCTTGGCTGTCCTTCGTATCGTCTGACTGTTCAGGTTCTGCTTCATTTCCATGTTCATTTTCATGAACCGGAGGCATTATTCTTAACTCCACGTCTTTCTGTATAAATGGCTCATCAAGACTCAGAGCACTCAGACTAGAGGAGCAAGAAAACCCATCCGGTGTGCTTTCTGTGGCGAAATGCAGCAGCGTATCAGCATCTGGCAGCACCTGAACTCTCTGAACAGCTGCATTTACAGCTGCCTGTCTAGGACCAGGCTCTCTCTTTTCTGCACTGGGTCCTTTACTTTTAGCTACATCTCTTTTGACTTGGACTCCTTGAGCAGGTGGTGGCGTCTTACTTCTGCTTGGAGGCATTGTTTGTCCAGGGCTGTCTGGAAGGTCACTGGGACTTATAATACCACTCACCATTCCACTGCAAGGTTCACTTTGAACTGAACTAGCAATCGAACGGCTTTCAAAACTATCCAGGGAACTAACAGAAGTACATCTGCTGAACATGAGGGGTGTTTCCTGCACATAATGTTCTGGTGGGCTTTTAGGAGTCTGTGCACCACTCTTTGAGGGAGATTTGGCACCTGAAGAAAATTCAACAGCTTTATGTCTGGAGGAATCAGAAGGAGACAAACTAGAAGTCTGAAGTCTACTGGATTTTGTTCTGATGTGTTGTGAAGTTGATGTGATTTCACTTACTGCACCTTCTGTAGATAGAGCCCCACTGTTTTCCTTTAGTTCTGCTATCTGCAGTGTGTTGTTAGCATCTGTCACACGTGTGGATTGATCACGTCCTATTTCATCTTCAGCTGATGACAAAGATGACAAAGAGCTGCACCTCGAAAAACATATTGGGGTATCTTCCACACAGTAAGTTTGTATAGTTTCCTGATTAATAGAGGGAGTTTTACAGGAGGCAGTCTTTTGCACATGACCACCTCTGTTCTGTGCAGAGTTTGGGTGAAGCTGATTCTGTCTCTTTGAACCAGCTGAGGGGGCTGACGTGCTCCCACTGCTTGAGGAAATATGGTCGGCTTTAGTGCTTTGTACAGAAGTTGTCTTTGGAAAAGTAAAAGATGGCTTCTGAGAAGAAGGAGGAACTTCAGTTGAGTACTTTAAACTATAATCAATAGGCTGATCAACATGATGTTCCTCTTCATTGTACTTAATGCTATAATTAGTTGGTCTGTCTTCTTCTTCATGTTGTTCCTCCTCAGAATAACGTTCACTGTAGTTGGTTGGCTTATCGTCATCATAATCATCAACATGACACAAGGACTGGTTTACTTTCTGATTAATTCCAAGAGTTGAGCCTACTCTGTTCTGATCTGAACCATTAGATCCTCTTGATCTAAAGGAAGAAACGCACTCTTGGGGTCCAAAAGGTGACGGATATTTCATGTGTTTATCATCCCCACTTTCAGTGTACATGGGGTAGCTTGTGTTTTGGCTCCTTGACTGCCTTTGTTCGTTTTGCTTCATTTCATCATCTATTATATGCTTAGGCCTTGCCCATCTTTCATTCTGAGAGGGACTTTGCCGTCCAGAATTTAACTGTTCATCTGAGTATTTAAGACTATAATTAATAGGAGTATCTAGCTCTCCATCGTTGTCATCCATGTGATTTGCGCTATGAATCTTATGTGCCAAGTCAGCTGGGTATTGACCATAACTACAGAATTTACTTTCATCATCTTCAGAGTACGATTCAATGGAAGGTTTCATCTGGCCTCTTTTACCATAGCCATCACTGCTGCTGACGCTGTTTAAGCTATCGTTTGAAGCTCTCTTGTACTCCATTTTTGTACAAGGCACAGGACACGTCCTGTTTGAATTCTCAGACTTAGGAAAGTATGTATTTGAGTGGGTATGGGCAGCAGCTGATCTCCTCGGTGCATTTCTGTCTTCTGTCAAACAGTGCATTTCCGAAGTGGAACCAGAACTTCTGTCTTCTTGTGGGATATGCATGCTTGTTACTTCTTCCATAACCTTGGCGATCTGAGCTGCAGCAGTAGAAATCTGCATCCCTATTCTCTTAGAAGAGTTCCCAGTACTCTCTGGAGCTGGGAGATACGTACTTAAACCTACTGCTCTATCCCTATCAAGACTTCTGTCTTTCTCAGATCGAGAATTTTCTATGTTTCCTCTGCTGGAAGAGGAGGAGGCAGGCAATACTGTAGTATTTAAATACGGCGAAAGTACAGTCATATTGCCAGCATTAAAACTGTCTGATCTGCATATACCATCATCATGCCGACTGGAGTCCAAAACATATTCACTGTATGCATTTTGCTTATGTCTCTGCTTATTACGATGAGATGCTTTCGGGCTTAAATTATCAATGTTATCGAAAGTCTCTGATAAGTGCTGAGCATCTAATTCTGCTTCCAGTGCCTTTTGCTTCCTGACGTGAAGAGATGGTAAGCTTGATCCTGGAGACATAATGTTGGCATCCTTATATTTTGCTGGCCTGTTTGCCATGAGGTTTCTTAGAGCTGCAGCGCTACCCATGGCTATCATCTTGTGTTTTGAGTGAATGAGATTCTTCAGCATGCTGACTGCTCCCATATCCCACAGCGCCTCCTGGTCCTTCGCGTTTCGTGCAGAAAGATTCCACAAGGTCCCACAGGCATTACTGACTATGGTCAAGCTGTGTGACTTCAAGTGTTGTAACAAGGTTTGTAAGCAGCTGTTCTCTCGCAAGATTTGCCTGGTGTTGAGCAATTGAAAACAAACATCAGTAAGTGGCACTTCAAAAGGCTGAGAGACAAAGCAAAACAAACCCCTGTTATGCTAGAGGCCAGTTTTGCCCTCAGAGAGGATAACGATGAATTCTCCAATGCAAATTTATCTCCTATTTCCTCTAGCTTTCATCTGAATGCTCATCAAATCCTCTTATAAATATGAATGGTTAGCTTTTAGAACAGTTCATCGTTACAAGCAGCAGGTATTAATCTATTTGCATATTCCTGTTATGCAAGTGAAATACTTGCCTTATCAAATGCATTAAAAATTAACTGTATTTAATTACTATACTTAATGCATGCATTCACAGTACGACTCAGTCATAGAAACTGAGTCCTAAATACACATGTGGAACTGCTAAAGATTTTTTTAAAAAGTATACCCACCTATGGTCCTCATTAGTAGCAATTAAGCTAGAAACATTTCTTAATATTCCTCCTCCACTTTCTATGATGGCTAAAGTGTTTGTTTGGCTCCGGTATGTCAGTGTGCTGACTAGAAATGCAAGAGCACCATCAACAGCACATATATCAGCTTTGTTCTCAGTACAGTGTGCTGATAAATTCCATAAGGCACTCAGAACACTTTTTAAGGTGGATTCCTAGGAAAATAACACAATGACAGCATTAGAGAAGTTTTCAGCTATGGATCACAAGCTCTCAGAAATATGTATGTTAGCTTCAAGGAGTTATGTATGTTCCAGTTTCTAATTTCTGGGCTGATAAGCTAGCTAAGATGCAGGCAGCAGTGCACACATAAATACTTTTGTTTGCTTCTCTCCTCCCTTCAGCTACAGGCTGGGTATTGCTTACTCCAAAGTTTTCAGAAATACGTGCCACAACACTTAACTGCCATTATGGTAAAAATGGCTTGAAGATCAGCTGACAGGAGGCTCTGGTGAGGAATATAATCCTGTCTGCATACAAAAAAATATACCCACAAGATTAAGGAAGTCACAGTTATCATCTATTCACTAACTCAAAAGAGGTTACAGTAAATCGCAAAATTATAAAAAAGGCTAGTTCAAAAGCATAGCTCATGAAATGGAAGACCAAAAGCTATCAACTCTCATAAATAAAATTACAGAAATACTAGTAGTTTTGAGACATCATTGCAACATTGTGGCCTGCTGCTCTAACTCAAAGCAGCTCTCTTCTTCAATGCAAATTACCTAAACCACCCCAAATATTTGACCAACTGCTTTTACCAAAAAGTACAACAATGTTTTTTGTGTAAAATAAATGCAATCTCTCCAAAATTTATCTCAATCGTTTATACAGGGTACCTTCTTAACTTCTAAAGCACATTCCATCAATGCTTTCACACTCCCAACTTCTCTCAGAGTCTTTTTACTGTTTACATCTGCTCGCCAGGACAAGTTCCTCAACACACTTGCAATGACCTGCAAAATGTGAAGAAAAATAATGTATCTTAATACAGCTACTTCTTTAGCAGGTTATCAGACTTTACTCCTGGATTTCTGGAATGTGCTAGATTAATTGACAGTGTTCATGTTCAGCTACTGAACTAAAATTTCCTTTTATTCTGTTGCCTGCTAGACTGTTCTCACATTTCACTATGAACTGTGATCAGAGCTACTGGCTTTTAGATGTGGATATCTAAAACAAAGATCTGAAATTAGGTTTTCTGATTTCCACATTGGTTAAAAACTGGTCCAAAAATTCAGATTTGAGCACTGTTCTGGTGTATGCACTAGACTTATGCAATCTCAAGAGAGATTTATATCACCTGTTTTTCAGCTTTTCTGTTTTCGAACTAGAACAATAAACACTCTGTGCTGTCTCTGAGATGGTATGATTACTTCGATTGTTTATAAAAACTCTTTAAAGTTTTTTAAAAATACATCGTGTCTTTTACAACCAGAGTAGTGATCTATAGGAGCTGAGTAGCCATTCAGCCTACGTCCTTGTCCCTAGCAACAGCTAGACTGAGGTCACTACAGTAGACAGTCATACATATTAAACTCCATCCGTCTACTGGCTGCAGCAAGCATGTATATCCCTCACAAAATGTATCTGACAGAAGAGTTTTACCTGTGGATGTTTCAATGTCACTGAAGTGTGTAAGCTTCTCAGATTATGTGATAGATGCTCCCATGGTCACACACACCCACAAGGGAGCCCAGGGAGTCAGTGACAGAAAGAGAAGCCCAGTAATACCCTGCCCTGGCTGGTCCCAGGCCCACCACAGGAGCCATCAGCCTGTCAGAGGCTCATCGCAACACACCCAGAGGGTGCAGGGACCCAAAGGCAGGCAAGAACCCAAACTGAGGGCTCAGAGCAGGGGGCACCCTGTCCAGGCTTTTTCCAGAGCTCTCCCAGGAGACACAAAGCCCCATGGACCATCATGTGACACCCACCACAAGAAGTCAGTGAAGCAGCTTTCTGCACCTTGTGGACTGAGGAAGGTCAGTTCAGAAGTCCTGGCCTAGGGATGTGGGACTCTTTATGGGATCTGGTGGAAGAGCATTCTGGGACTCCAGACTTACTATGGGATAGGAGGACCCAGAGGTTCCAAAGGCAGGAAAAAGGATCTAGGTGATTCAGAAAGGTACATGCACTGGAAAACACAGGCATAAGGGGGCAGAAATACTCAGCAGCTGGCTGGCTGATATGCTTGTATGGCCAGGCACTCTGCCTGACAGGCACAGTCCGTCCCCTGTTCTTATTGAATCTCTTGCCTAATTTTACCTGAGCAAGTGGCTCCCTGTTCTCTGTGTGTATGTGTATGGGGGTCTACATGCCAGTGGCTGGAGACACACAGTAGGTCAGAGGGGCCAAGTGTCCATGACCTCCTTTTCAAAAATGCTAAATATACTCAACATCTGCCCTAATACCAAACAAGAGTTTACTCAATAACCTCTACTGTAATTCTGATTGTTTTCTCAATTGTAACCAGGTTGCTCTGCCTACAGTAAAGAATTTTTTTGTGAACAGTGTTCTAAGACATAAAGTTTATTTTATTTAAAATTGTTCTTTTATCTAACGATTCAAACAAACTGCAAGGAAAACAGAGTTTTCCTTTCAAAAGCTGTTCCACTTTGGTTACAGTATACATTAAGATGGATTGTAATTTAATAGTTAAGATTTTTAACCAAATTCCATACCAACGAAGAACAGTTCTGCACTCTCCACTCTCAGGATCACTTTCTGAAGTTTTTTTATTGTCAGGCTGTTTTCTTTATACAGACATTGGCAAGGTGTCACACTGAACACTTTGGTCATACTTAGAAAGCTTCTGTGGGGGGAGATGTTGGTGTCCTGAGTAGTTATGTATGACTTGTCAAGTCCAATACAGATTCTCTTTTGAAGTACACATTCCTCCACTATTGTTTTCCTATCATGTACTTGCTGTAACAGTATGAGGAGCCCCAATACTGTACTAGCCCTCCAGTCTGTTAGCACCATCACTAGTAAACTAAATTAGAGATTCTAAGATTGCTCAAACTAATCCTTAAAACTGGACTTCCACTAACAGATCAGGGTCATAAAAGTAAGTTTTACAGCCCATGATAACATGGGCTAGAAATAT